TGGAATTCTCCCGCCAAGGATAAAAAAATCGGAAAATTTGAAAAGAGGTGTATGGATCATGAAAACATGCGAATTTTCTTCAGAAATTTTTTTTCCAAAAACTTGGTTAATTTGTATTTGACAAGATGCCAAAGGTGTTTAGAGTATGGAAAACTGCTGAAAACAGCTTTTGAGCTCAAAAACAGGTCATATAAAAAACCAACAAAAAATAAAAAAAGAGTTTCGACTATGAAGGAGTCGAACCATAGAGTACCATTTCCCCATCCCGCCGCTTTACCACTGAACCATCCCACTGCTGTTTTCCATGGTTCTTCAAAGCGTATAAAAGAAATGAGGACGTGGAAGCGTTCACGTATGCATTTCAGTGCAAAATCTACTGAAAACTTCTGACCCAAATTTCTCGAGTTAGCGGAGGCCGCCGCAAAAACTGAGCATATATTTGAAAATGAAATTTCATCCTCTTTCGAATGATATAGGTCTCGTCCCATAACTCCACATCTTCTGTGAGTCATTCCCTAGTTAGATCAGAAAGTATGAAAACTAGAATAACTACGAACCACAAAATGCGGTAGTAAGCTTACTTTAACATTCCCATTCACACTTGAGGGACTTTTGTAAATTTTAGAATTGAGAAATCAGCTAAATTTGTTAGTTTTCAAAATCAGCTTGCAATTTGGTATTTTTAGAGCGAAATGAGTATGAAAAAGAATAGTTTTCAGTTATCAAAAAAAAACTAAATTTACAAAAACCCCTCATGTTTGTTCCCATTACTTTTCAGATTTTCATGATTTTTTCATTTCAATAACTCGAATAATAATAAATTTTTTTGTTTCTCAAAAACTGCCAAATACCGAAAAACCTGTAAAAGAAGGGCTCCAACACCGTCAAGTTTAAGCTCAATTAACTCGTTTTCTATAAGAGTTATCATTGCCAACTGGTAAACTGTTTGTGATGACATCATAAACATTTTAACAGTTGACAACTTTTTCATATCTCAGACAGAAACCGGGATTAATTGGCTCAAAGTTGACGGGTTGGGTGAGCTTCTATTAGAGGAAATACGATAATTTTGTATTGCTCAAAAGTTGTCTGCCAACATTTTTCGGTTACTACCCCAATGTGCCCACGCTTTCCATGTGCATCTGGCCCATAAATCCGTCAGTGCTAGGCCCTGTGGTCCAAACCTCCGCCAGCCTATCCCAAACAACAGGGATCATCATAGAACATTTGTCCCCCCGTCCAAATAATCTGTAAAAAAGTCAACCTCTTTATGATTGATTACGCTACACTGTTACAATACAATAGGTTAATAAAAAACAACAACAAAAGATACTAAAGTCCCGGGGTTATATATTAATGTGTAAATTGAGTATGTTTCTGCGGTGGGTGGATGATGACGGATAGCTTTCTGTTGCTGGATTCCTTCAGACTCGTGACACAACTGATGTCTTGGCAGTGGCCTGCAAAGTTTTGAAATTTTTAAATGATTTCGGGGGATATTGAGCTTACTGGACAATCCTCATCGTTTTCTGAGATTTGGCTGAGATTTGAAAAAAAGACTGCATTTCGAGTTGGCGATCCGGCGGCTTCTTCGAGCTGAAAATTGTGTGGATTGGTGTATGATGCAACTATTGCATAATTAAGCCTAATTAATTATGTACCGCCTTTCTTCAGAAAGATACTAATCCCACCAGGTGTCAAATGTCACATTCTCGGGTTCCAAAATTAGCACCTAATCATTTATCTTGACCACTTTCTGTTACTATGCACAAAAATCTCAACTCAAAAATATCCTACGGTCTTCTAGGCCCAGTCCAATGTGCTTCTCCCAAGAATGACTCACATTTTTCTCATAATCCAGTTCTAAACCGTCATTGTTCTCTCCTTCAATGGTATCCTGACGCGGTCTGAACTTTCCAAAATTCAATTATTTCGAAATATTTGAAAACTCACAATCTATGCTCTCTGAAACTACTGGCTCTTGAGCCAGCTTGGGAAGCTGTGCCGAACTTGAAACGACGACGGACAGATGGACGGTCGTGGCCTAAAAGAAAAGTTCAGAATTTCCGTAAAACGGGATAGCGTTACCATGGATATCACCAGATGACAAGCGAGGAGACAACGGGACCATGTGGATGTTTTCGTCGGTTTGGGCAAGTCTGAAAGTCTATTAGCGCGATAAGAGATCTACAGTATCAGCTCGGCTGTCAAGTTTTCGATCACTTCAAAAATTTCGGAGGTCAAAAAGGGTACATTTTAGAAAGCGACTAATAGCTTAAAAGCTAGGGATTTGCGAAAAATTCTGTGAATTCAAAGTTTTCAATCTAGGTCTGTTTTACAGCCTCCAACGTGTTCAAAGTGATCGGAAACTTGACAGCCAAGCTCCAGACTCCTGAAAATAGTCAAAAAGGCCGAAAATCAACTGAAAAATACGTTTTTGTATATCTTAATGACTGTATCTATTCAACTAACGTCACATGGGAAACGGATCCAACAAGTGCACCGCTCTGGTAGTTCCTTTGACTTTCCTCCGAATAGATTGGTAATGCTCCTGGATCCGAGAACATGTCTTGAGCAAGTGGTGGCGCTTGGCCGAAACAGTCAACGATTCTCATTCCGGTCTGAAATACGGCGAAAATTAGACAAAAAACCAAAAAGGATAAAAAAAAGGATAAAAGCTTCTTTGAGGTACTCTCTGTTAGTTCTTCTAACCTATCAAAGAAAAAAAAAGATAAGCCCAATGCGGGGCTCGAACCCGCGACAACCAGATTAAGAGTCTGGTGCTCTACCGACTGAGCTAACCGGGCGGCGAGCTACTAAACTACTCAATGCATATAAGAGACAGCGGGTAACACGCGCTGAGGAGGTAAACACAAGTGGTAAGTGTCCTGTGTCTACCAGAAGCTCACAAAAATATTCTTGTCAATCAGAAAATTCGTTTCAAAATCGTCATCATCCTCTCCGAGTGGATTCAGAAGAGCTTCGGCGACTTTCATCCATCCCAGAATGCAAATGAACTCGATGATGGTCAAAATCGGACGAACAATCATTTGAATCACTTCGAATTCTTTCCCGTCATTCTAAAAATTTTTCCTAGAATTTTTTCAATTCTGAACGCCTACTCACTGGATTTCTGATGTATTGTCTCGAGAAGAGGCAGAAGAGAAAATAGATTCGGACGGCGAAGAAAACAACCTGATGAAAAAAAAAACATTTTTACATTTAAAAAATTATTACACCTGTGGATAGGCAATCGGGATTGGGCACCAGTCATAGTTGCACAATGTGGCAAGGCTTCCTCGAAAGTCTTTGATTTCCGGAAATGATTTGGGTTACGGTACAGGATGGACAATACTTGTAAACCGGAGGCTTTGCCTTGCCATAGTTTCTTTTAGAAATAAAATTTTTAGACCAACTAACATAGATATGATAGAACTTGACGAGTACTGCAAAATGGTGCTATCTAGAAAACTGTAACTTGTCTAGGAGCAAAGTTACAATCCATAAGGGATGCCCTTGTAACTAAAACGGTTTTTGGCTTGTAACTTTGCCCATAGACTAGATACAGTAATCAAAAAAGTATCATTTTGTAGTACTTTTTGAGTTCTATCATCTCATCTGTAGTTGGTCAAAAATATTGATTATAAGACAAACTATGGTAGGGCCCGCATAGTCTCGGCAATTTACAAGTATGGTATGAACGACACACAGACCGATTAATGAGGAAAGAAGGGTTAATTGACAGCAGGGAAGAAGTAAAGTAATCTGAAAAATAAAAAAAAACATGCGACATCTGGACACAGAGACAGACAAATTTACTTTATGAAGAGCACACAGTGCAGGTGCGCTAATGATATATCCTTTTTCATTTGCTTTATTCAACAAAGTGACACACCAGTTGATTGGTACCCAGTATTTATTATAATCCAAGTCGATGGCATTCAACATTTCTTCTTCGTTATCAAAGAGAAACCCCGCTTTTTTGACAGAGTCCATATTTGGAAATCGACGACGAACTCGAATGGAAATGTCTCGATATACCATCACCTGAGCCAGACAGACATATCGAATCAGATTCCGACGAATTAGGAAAGCTTCCTCCGCATTTGAAACTATTGTCGCGTTGATGGTAAGGGCAATGCTGTAAAACAATTAGCAATATTCTCTTTTCTTTGGGATTACTGTACCTTTCAATGAATCCTAAATTGGCGAACATGTGTCGCCATCTTGCGACAATGATGGAGACGAAAAACGCGAGCATGAAAGTCAGTGGAATGTAGTTGTGTAGCTCCTTTCCAAAGTACGTCCCTCCGTCATTGAACCAACGGAACAACTTTACCACCATGTTGCTGAAAGTTGTATGTATTACTTCAAAGGCGCCAGGGTTGCAATCTGACGGGCTGGCCGGCGGGCCGGCCCGAGGGAAAAAAACCAGGGCCCGGCCCGGCCCGGCCGGCCGGCAATTAATTAATATTTGAACGCGCGCCATTTTTATTTGCAACGATGCTCCGATATGACGAGGCGCGCATTGTTTAGCAGCCCGTGTCGATTTACGGGGGTTTGTTTTGTTTTTTTTAGACGATTTTTTGCGTTTATCAACCGATTTTTCTCCTTTTTTTGTCGCGAATTGCCTGATAATCCCTATTTTTCATAAAATAATTATTTTCAGAGCAAACGACATCCTACGGCTCGCCATCTCACCCACACCCCTCCCAAACTCGAAAAATGAGTTTCAAGATATCCAAATCAGACCTTCAATTGAAATTAAATAAAAAAGATAGTAATGTCACATTTGTGAGTTTAAAAACAGAGATAAACCGGGTTTACAAAGAAACTTGTTTATAAACTTTGCTATAACTTTCAGGCCCGTGATCTTGTCACAAAGTTAATGCCATCAGCTATTCCCTCCACTACTCAACCCACCTCATCGCAGAAGTCAAATCTAATTGCAAAGTTATATCATTCGGTCAGTGACCAAGCGAACTCAACATCCACTTCTTCGGAAATCTCAAGATATCTCTCCGAGTACTACGATCCTTCAACGAACGAATCGGTTGAGGAGTATTGGAAAAGAAAAAGATTCGAATACCCCGGACTGTACTCAGCAGCACTTTTCGTTTTTTCGATTGTTCCCAGTGAAGCTATGTGTGAGACTACGTTCAGCACTGCGTCGTTTTTGTTAGAAAAAAAATAAAACAAGAACAAGATTACTGTACAAGCGTGTGGAGATAGTCGTTCTGGGTTCGCAAATAGCCACGAAATTTCCACACTGGCTCGACTGATTCTCTCACTAATTGTGATTTTTCTAGTTAATTTTATGTTACTTTTCTATCTTTTTTGTTGGATTGGTTGATATGAGCTTTAATTTTCTCCCCCGGTTTCCATTTCTTTGTTTCCCCTTGTTCATTTATACGGTTTTTACATTGTTATGCTACTTGTTAAGAAATAAATTAAAATAATTCTTCAATAATTTCTGTTTTTTCTTAAATTCGAACGGGCCGAACCGGCCGGGCCGGAGAAAAAATAATCTCGGCCCGGCCCGGCCGGTTGCAACCCTGAAAGGCGCATCGTCGGCCCAAGCGATTTTTTGAAGAAGTGCATGCGTCTTTAATACCGTGCCTCGCAATTAATTTATTTATCCCATTTTTGGCTATTTTGGTTTTATAAGAAAATTCAATCAGAGATTAGTGAGTTTGCTTTTTCGCAGTTGGACCGCGCATGGCAGTCAGGCTAGAGTAATACGCACATTTGTTCTTTGGACAGCGCGCTTTCAGTCAACTGACACCTTGGTGACTGTCCTTCACGCGCCATTTGTCGCATGTCTTGTGTATGCCTTGACTAACCTAGTCTCTCGCCGCCCGGTTAGCTCAGTCGGTAGAGCACCAGACTCTTAATCTGGTTGTCGCGGGTTCGAGCCCCGCATTGGGCTTATATTTTTTGTTTTTTTTGCTTTATTTATTGATAGTTACCGTATTCTGACTAATTTCAAAAGTTTCAGAGCTATTCTAATTTTCAGTTAATAAGCTTAGGCCAATTTTAACACCACAAGAGAAAAATACTTACTCTTCATCAAATCTTTTTGGAAACAGAACCAAATGATAGAATAGGGCAAGACTGATGTAAGACGTTATCCACATCATCAGCTCCGAGAGCACACTCTTCCATATCGAACCTCTCCATCGGCACATCAACCGTAAGAAGTTGAACGAAGACACCGATGATATTTCCGAGTTGTAGGATACCGTCATATCTGAAAATCATAGTTGCAAAAGGCCGGGCCTGGCCGGACCGGTAGACGAATTTTCTCGGCCCAGCCCGGCCCGGGGCCTGCCCGCCTACCACTGTTGAAAATTTTTCAATGAAAATTTGGGAAATTTTTTTGAATTAAAAAAGAAAAAAGGTTGAATTATTCAATAAAATTAACAAAGTACGAAATAATCGAAAAATAGGTCGTTTTGTCTAAATTTTTGAAAAAAACTCAAAAATTTCGAAACAAATTCAAAAAAATCCACGTCTGTAGGTACCCCGGGCCGGCACTTCATCGACCCGGCCCGGCCCGGCCCGCCGAAGTTCTCGACGGGCCGACCCGCAGGCCGGGCCTGCCCGAGATTTTGCAACTATGCTGAAAATAGATAAAAATGTTAGATCAAAATGATTGGGAGGTGGTGATTGATATGAAACAAAAAGCATAAGGAGATGTGGGAAAGGGGGCGGAGCCGTTGATGATCAATCATAAAAATTGAAAGCATATATATTTGAGCTGTTTTCTCTTCTTTTTCTTTATTGTTTGCTAAAGTACAGAGGGGTCAGAAATCGTGGGAAAATCGGGTACCATATTCATTAACATAAATTTTATTATCAGTGATTAGGGCTATTATTTGATTACTTGGTTTTTATTATCCATTCAAAAAAAATTAATGGAGAGAGGCAGAAAAAGAGAGAGTCAGACAATATAGAGCGAAAATCCCTCTTTAAATCAGTCAGAATACTGTAACCATCAATTAAAAAGAGAAAAAAAAACATAAGCCCAATGCGGGGCTCGAACCCGCGACAACCAGATTAAGAGTCTGGTGCTCTACCGACTGAGCTAACCGGGCGGCGAGAGACTAGGTTACTCAAGGAGTACACATGGCGCGTGTCTCAAGGCGCCGAGGTTTCTTATCAGGTGGCGATTTACTTGATGTGCGTCAACATGTTAAAATGAAAAGGGAACTTCTGAAAGTGCTGGAAAACGTGTTTTGATGTGTGGCTGACAAACATTTTGGCTAAAAATAGGAAGGAAGCACTCGATTCCTTTCACTTCTTAACAATTATCAATGTGGTTATTTGGTTCTATCGTACAAATAGCATTACTGTACAATCTAGTGCTTCCCACTGTAGAGGTGACAAACGCGCTCTATTGATAATTTTGACTGAAAAAAAGCTATAAAAAAGCCACGTGGTTTCAGGCGAATGGCGAGTTGGCAGACGAATTCGAACACTATCGAGAGTGTCTTGAAAAGGTGGAGAAAGATGTTGGCGAGGAGCGGAAAATAAAAGTAAGCCAAAAGAAAGAAAGAACAGTTTTTATGGAGGAGGATGGGAAATAAAAGAAAAACCAAAAACCTACATTTATTCATGTTGATTCATCTCTTTTTCTTGAATAGGTTGTTCATGCCGTTCGTGGAGCTGATGTCATTCTTCCATGCTTTACCTGGTAGGAAATTTTGTATTATTTTGAATATTATTCTAGATGAAAATAGTTTTAGTGTCTCTCCGGAAGATGGTGTGGAAATTGATTCAACTTACAAACCATCAGCTGGGAGTGTGGGACGATCGCTGAATTATATTGTTGATTTCTTCAAAGAGGTAATTTCTAGCAAGCTATGATAATCGGGATACTGTAACTACCAATTAAAAAAAGTAAAACAAAAAACAAAAAAACATAAGCCCAATGCGGGGCTCGAACCCGCGACAACCAGATTAAGAGTCTGGTGCTCTACCGACTGAGCTAACCGGGCGGCGAGAGACTAGGTTACTCAAGGCGTACACAAGGCATGCGAAAAGTGGCACGTGAAGGACATTTTGTCGACCACTCTCTTGTTTTTCAGCTAGTCACCTCCAATGACCCCAGTTTTGTCCTGTCAAAAATTAATAAATATAACATTCTCAGGTTGTTCCAAAAATAATAAAAAAAGCAAAATTTCAGAAATTCCTTCGCTCCTCATTCTCGATGCCAGACGAGAATCGTTGGAAGTTCGATTGGGAGTTTGCAATGATGGGTCGAATGTTCGTCCCACTCTCGAGTATGCATTTCGACGCTTCTGAATCCATTTCTGACCGTATACACCGGTTCACTTCGAAAGATGAAGCTGAATTCAAGCTAGGCGATCGCTATGAGCTTGTTCTAAAGAATGTGGATGGGAATAGTACGGGACATTATAGATGCATGAATCGACATGGGAGAAATGTGATCTCGAATATGTATTTTCTAGAAGTCTCTAATGAGAAAAATATTATTCCGGTGAGACTTTAAAGGTTTTAATTTTTATTTTAATAATTTTATTCCAGCTAAATGGGACTATAGGTGTTGAAAAGCTTCCATCCGTTGCGTTGAAATCTGGAAAACTCGAGAAACTTAATCTGAAATATTCTGTGAAGGCTACCGACTGGAGTAAATGCAGTTATTGTTCTTCGGATCGTGGGGAACAAACTAGGTCCATAAAATGTTATGTTGAGGTTTTTTTCGGGAAAGTTAAGCGTCCTTATGATCTTCGTTTCTAGCCTTCGACCAAAACGACATCTCAAAAACTGGAGCTTCGATATTTGTTACTATATGATAAGATCCCTTGTACTTCAACTTTAGTTCCACTTCCCGTACGAAAAGAGTTGAAGAAAATGGGAAATGATAAGATCTTTCTGGAAACCCGGCCTTGTTTTGAAGAATGCACTGGAGCCGAAGAGCTCAATCGAATTGTGAATAGCTCTCAGGATTTGGGAGATATTCGGACACTTGACTATCTTCCAGGAGGAGAATTTGTGTTTGGAAATGTGTTGCCGAGACTTTTACCACCAGTTGTTCGAAGGGTTCAGGTACGATTTGATTTCAAGGTTTTGCATTATTTGGTAATTGCATAAGAAAGCAAGAGAGGGGTAATGAATCGTGGGAAAAAATCATTATTGTATTCGTTTGCATAACTTTTATTATCACCAAGCAGAAGTATAATTATTGGGCTTCTTGGAGAAGAGGGAGAGGTATGAGCAAACATAGAAGAGCAAGAAACAGAGCGATCGGAAATTTGAATTTATTTGATCTGTAAGAATTAGATTCAAATTGTCACTTAAGGACACCTCTACAATCACAAACCTATTACAGTAGTCAGGAAAATGTATATTACTCAATTCAAAAAAAATTTGAACAGATTCAACCTAAAAATTCAATCAGAGCCACTATGGGGCTCCTAACATTAATCAACATACTATATTGTCTATTCAATAAAACGGGGGGGCG